AAAAAATAGGCTGTAACGGTAATGAAAGAAGTAGAATTAAGGATCAACGACGGCTCCATTATCTGTTGCTCTTAAAATTGCTTTATGAAATTGACACGATGCTTCATAATGCAAATGTCATGCCTACGGATTAGTAAGCTGAAGTGGCAAAGGGCCGGCAATATAGCTCGAAGAACCGACAATCGATAGGGAAGAAAGGTTCTCGGTAGGCGAAGTATATGACCATCCACTAGATGGAGTGACGACCTGGTAAGACATACAGAAAGTCGATGAATGCCTGTGGCTCATGACCGTGTTTTGTGGCATTCCTTGGGGTATGTTCAGCAGTGGACTTGTGAAGGGCTATAATGATGGTAATGATGATGATACTATGCTTACAAAACACATTATCTAAGTAATCTAGGTTACGGTAACCAATCGTGATCGTAAGATTTACAATTTGTATTATGTAATAAGGTATAATCTATACAGTTAATATTTACAAATGGTTTTAACTTGTGACATGTGTGGTGGTGACGTAATAGAATCCATCACCCAATCACACATTTTAAAGCGACATAGCCTAGCAGAGCACAGCATGGCAGAGTGCGAACCGCAAACAAAAGATCGTGGGTTCGAATACACCATTCGAATACTGTCGAGAACACTCCTAACACAAGCGTTTTAAGCTTACCAGGAGTCGTTAAAGATAATATTAATAATGTAAATAGAATGGCTTGTACTTTTTATTAACAAAAAATTCGCCCCGCGAGTTTTCTAAGAGGCGACTATAGGATAAGTCAAATAGACCTTATGTAGGGGTGCTAACCAAATTGTTAAAATCAGTAAGTATTATACTTTATTTTGTTATTTTCTTTTAATAAGTTTGTCATCAAACACACACAGTCCACCTGATGGTAAATGGATGCTGTGGCTCCAAGACATCTTCAATTAAAAATCTAAATGCAGATGCGTTGCCATCGATATGGATGCCTCGTTTCCAGTAAAGAGTCTCCGGTTCTCTACACTCACCATACGAAAGACAGCAGCATTAAGCTGCTATTTTACGCTGATAATCTATGATAGCGTGATCCTACCCCGGTCGAACCGAACCATTCGTGCTGCAACCACAATATAGCCGTACCATGGCGCTACCAGGTAAAAATCTTTGTTATCATTTTTATAATAATACATTACAATTAGAAAAAAATATATAATACTGTTGCATAACATCGCAGGTATCCGGAGCCATAAAACTAGGAAAATATCTGCTATAATCTGTTCATTTTAATTTCGACTTAAATCGTGAAGAAGCTTTCCATCTTAGTCCTCAGGTGTGACAACGCATCTGCATTTTGATTCTTAATCGAGTATAAATGTAGATGTCTATGAGCCATAGCATCCGCTTACCATCAGTTGAACCATGTGCTCTTTGTCACCGTTATTCTATTCTATAAAAAAATGATTACTCTTAAAAACAAAATAATCAAAAATTCAAAAACAGTTGTCTAAACTTTTAAATTTTGACTAACACCAGTGTAAAACGCCAAAACCCTTGTAACTATGAGCTGCAGGCATGTTATCTTAACGACATGATGTAATAAGCAATTATTTTGATTACAATACTGATAACTACGTTCACTGTCACGATTGACGACCGCTTAGTCCGCGGCCATTGGACTTGCCCTGATTTTATGGTTTTAACCCAAACCAAAAACGATATTTAATAAATTATCGTTTTTTTATATTTTTATATTTTTCATAGACATTTCTAACCTCAATTAAGAGGATAGAGTAAGTCAGCTCAAATTCTAATTTCGCCCCCCACTTCCCCGCGCGTCGTATGCTATGTACCGATATGTTTGTAATCACTAATACTGTAAGTAGAAAGGTCGTTAGACACTTATTTCATTAGGTTTATCATATTTATGCCTGTTTCTTAACGCCAAACTAACCGCTTCTTATTTTTATCACGGTTATTTCCCATTTTAATTTTACGTCGTACTGTTGCGTAATGTATATTCTGATCGTAAGCGACACAACTTCTCCCTTCAAAAGCCTAAGCGATACTAACGGGGCGACTGGAATCAAGCTCAAGACGCCGATAGTTTAGGTAATTTCTTTTTACAGTGAAAATAATGGTATTTTAAAAAAAGTAAATAACATAAGCACTGCTTTATAGTTAGTTCAGTTAGTATGCAAAGTTTCATGATCTTATTTAAAGTATTTTATGAATAACAGCATTTTATTGTTTATTTTGGAGGTAACTTTGGATTTTTTTTCTATCGAGAAAATTTTACGAAATCGTGTTTTCGTCTAACATAATCATTAACATTAATCCTCAACTTTACCATATATTTATTTCAAAATTAATGCTGCAATATTTTCGGCATAACGAAGGATCTTGCTAAGCCATTTGACATTATATTTCCCCTTAAGAATCAAAATGATGATGCGATGTCACCCCTGAGGACTATGTTGGTATGCCTCGTCCTATTCCGTAAATTAACAAACACGATATTCATTTATATACAATAAGTAAGTATATCCGCGTAAACACTTAGACAAGTAGGTACTTCCACTATTATAGTTAACGTACAAAAATTAAGAGGTAAGGTAAACACCAAATATTGCTCTATGGTCTATTAAGGCAGACTGAAGGCAAACTTAAAGCTGGGGGAAAACGTTGTCTCTCATACATCGGTCTATATCATGGTTGATGCTCTAGCTGCGAATTTAAGTCTGTAAACGCAAAAAAATAGGGTGTAACATATGACCGGAGTAGAAGCCTATGTATGGCACTGATATTTTTCAAAAAAATTGTATTAAATAAATTAATTTAAAATCTACCAAAAATCAAATCATATCCACCCTAGCCTGTGACCCTGCGAAGAAGCGACAAGGTCAAAGATGCCTACTAAATTTATTGTTTTATTACCGTTCGTAAAGTAGGGTCGATAGGATTTCAATTTCGATAGATTTTAATTATTTCTTTTTGTAAAATATCAGTGCCATTATTCCGTTCATATGTTACACCCTATTTTTTTCCGGACAGTAAAAAAGGTCATCCAGTATGTATATGTGATATAACTGGTCACTTGGAAGAGAAGGCCAAATTGGCCTGTAAAAAGCTTGGCGTGCTCAGCAGAGCAGGACAGTATTTCATGCCGGCACACCGCCTGCAACTTTACAAGGCGCAGGTTCGGCCGCACATGGAATACTGTTCCCATCTCTGGGCTGGCCTCCAGTACCAGCTCCTTCCACTTGACCGCATCCAGCGCAGAGCGGCTCGAATCGTCGACGACCGAGTGCTTTTCGATCGGCTCGATTCACTGGCGCTGCGAAGAGATGTTGCATCTCTTTGCATTTTCTTTCGCATATACCATGGGGAGTGCTCTAAAGAATTGTTCGTATTAATCCCAGCCGCCAAATTTCGTGAACGCACTACGCGGCAAACGTCCCGATACCATCCACATCATCTTGATGCTTGGCGGTCCATCCCTGTACTTTCGGGTTTTTTCGCGTACAACCTCTCTGTGGAATAGTTTACCACCGGCGATTTTTCCGGACCGATACGATCTGGGGACCTTCAAGAAAAGAGCTTACTCCTTTCTAAAGGGCCGGCAACGCACCTGCAATTCCCCTGGTGTTGCGGTTGATCATGGGCGGCGGTAGTCACTTAACATCAGGTGGGCCGCATGCTCGTTTGCCCCCTCTTCTATAAAAAAAACCTATAAATCTGAAGTTAGGTGTAGATGAGGAACTAGACCGGGGGGCGGATTACTGCTTGCTGCTCCTGCTTTTGCTTATAAAATGGTTTAAAGTAGATTTTGATGCGTAAACGTGGTGCGACTTTATGTATTAAATACCCGCATGTGACATATTAGTGGAAACGATTTTTCGATGGTGATGTGAACTTCAAATTAAGGTCTTTGTTTAGGCGCCTTGAGATACTATCGTCATCGACTGTCTGCTAGCTCAAGTTGCCGTTAAATATCCCGAAAAATTTCACAATGTGACGCATCAGCATAATATTGTAAAGAAGTTTTGAAAAAAAAATATATTTAAAGGCGAATTTCTTAAAGTACTTAACACTGGCAAAAGTACAACAGTACGAGCCTATTGACAATGAAAATAAAGCTACAAATCAACAGACTTTTCAGATTTTTCCTTTACTTGTACGGTGAGACCTTTCTCCTTGTGTATTTAGATCAACAGGCCCTAGAGGTTAAGGTTGAGATTGATGAGAAAGCCTAAAAAATACTTGGTATGTGATATAAAAATATTGCGGATTTTTTGAGACCTTGTTTCTTGCTGAATTTCATGGTTCTAGATCAACGAAAAGTCGTCATCGTCAACATCATCATCATCCTTACAGCCTATTAAAATTCACTGCTAAGCATAGGCCCATACATGTGTAGTAAAAATGAACGTACATATCGAGAACTCACTAACGCTCACGAGTATCAAAATATGTGTCATAAATGGACGTAGCTTTGCCTCGACTTGATTTTTTAACACCGCCAAAGGACCGTAGACTTAGTATTGTTACGAGCTTGAGGTTCGTGACAATAAAAATTGCCGATAAAATTACCTAAATTAACACTTTAATTTACTTTACACAAATTAAAACTAAAAACACTAATAATTAAACACACTAATTCACTTAATTCCGCTCCGAAGCTTCGCTTGTGTCGCCGAGTTCAACTCTGCCCGATCGCATCTTGCTGCGCCTACTTATATAAATTAGCAAAATATCCAGAATTACAGTTACAGTTCAAGTAAACACGCGCAAGGTACCGAGAGTTCGAGTTTTAAACTTCAAGAAGTTTAGTTCTTTGGTTCGAGACTAGATGGCGCTAGTGCGCCGATTTTAGCGCGTAACAGTATGTTATATTAATTTTAACTTGATTCCTCCACCCGTTCAGACAACAAAATGACCCTAGAAGAACCCTGTAAGAGTTCCGCTTTTTTCTTTTGTATAAGGAACCCTGATAATATATATTCAAACCGATACTTACTCTTTATATGAGTCAAAAAGCCAACTATAGACCCCGAGACGAGTAGTTGTGTAAGTGGCCTGCCTCAGAAGTCCGGCGGAAAGACCGGTGTACAGGGAAAAGAATCCTTCTCTTGCTATGATCTCCCCTGCGACCGCGAAAGATGAACGGCCCCCACCACTCAACTGCATCCTGGTCTTGATCAAATCAAGAGGTTGGACCACGCATGTCGCCGCCATCCTGAAAACAAAGTGTTCATTGAATAAAAGCGAAAGGAAAACAGAACTCATTTCATATTTCAGGCAAAGTAAACAATTAAGGGAATCACACACCCACGCAACTTCAGCTAAATTGTGATTACTGTTGATATATGATACGGTTGGTTTTCATATGTGAATTTTGCATGTTCGTTTCAGAGTTAGCTGCAAATTACCTACGATCGTATGTGTTAGCTCAGACACTCGTGTAACAAGGTATTCCATCCTGGTTTTCAGGTGTGACAACCCGGAATTTGTTTGTATCGAACATGGCCCCCTTTTTCACATTTATGTTTTTGGTGGGATATCTTTTAAAATTATCAATTTTGAAAAACTTCATTGATACTCATTTTTTGCGCTAACGCTTCACATTTTTCTTTATTAATTTCAACTACGAGAGTAAAATATCAATAAAGTTACTGTTGGTACCAGTACTTAGGACTGACCGCACCTAAGACTTTGTATAAACATTATCGACACCAAATATCCATAATTTGTAGTTTTCGGATGTTTTCTTTGTGCGCCCCATGATCTTTAATGCTTAATTTTAAATTTCTTAGTTAACCAAGTGGCCTAAGTTTTTTGATGAGTGAGGTAGCTTGTCATCAATCAGTGACTCAATAGACACTAAAAATTGTATTTCTCAGACCTTAATAACTCAAGAAATATGGTATAAGTTTATTCATGAAATTTGGGTTGCTACATGTACTATAAATATTGTTAGTTATTATCGTTATTATATAGTATCGTTATTATATAGTCAATTGTAGTTGTCTATACGGGTGTTAGTGTAAACACCGTTATCCTTGAAACCTTTTTGAAATGTTGTTATTTTTCATTAAATTTACATTCTATAAGTGAAACCAAACCACTGGTTTCAAGGATAACGGTGTTTATACTAACATCCTGTATATTAAAAAAACAATATAATACGGAAATTATCTTTATTCCTAATTCAACTGTGGTGCTTTTTTACATTAACTGTGATTGGCAGTCATAAACAAGTATGACTTAAGGAAAGATTTTTTTCCATCAAGAATGTAAAATTGAAAGAAGAAAGAAAAAGAGCTAGTATTATGTAATTTAAAAAAATTAATTATTAATTTATTTTATTATGAATCTAAATTGCTCAGACTCCTATAATTATTTTAAAAGTAAGGTACTCAGAAGGTAAGGTGGTTAGATCATTGTTGGTTAAAGCAAAGAGGTATAACAAATATATGTCAATGGAAAAATACATAAATATTAAAAAAAAAATGTGTACTCGTTTTCTTCTGAATTTCTCAAAAGTACTATATTTTTGCATCTTTTTTGGGCAAAATACTATATTTGTTAAAATAAAAATAAATGTGTACTCGTTTTCTTCTGAATTTCTCAAAAGTACTATATTTTTGCATCTTTTTTGGGCAAATTACTATATTTGTTCAAAAAAAGGCGGCAACCCTAATTCTATGTATTTTAGGGGCCTTATTAAACATTATTCTAAATCAAAATATTTACGGTAAGTTAAGGGTGTTACATATATGATGTGTCTTACAACTAAATCACCCTTTTTAGATATTACAATATTTGATATATTTGTAAGTATGCCTTTGTATAACATTAGTTACTTATTTAATTAAAGTTATCAAATATGGTTGTTAGTTTTATTAGATTAAATCATTAATTAAAATTATAAAAAAATATTTTCAAATAATGTAATAAAAACAAAGTATACATATTGGAATCTGGTATATATATGGATGTAGGGATGTAGAGGAGGCGAGAGAGGTGTGTCAGGATCGTGCCAAAAGGAAGTCTGTAGTCTTTGCCTACCCCTCTGGGTGACAGGCGTGTGTGTTTGTTTATGTGTGCATTATATCTTTTCCTCAGGGGTGGAAATGCATTCCCACACAAGGAATTCCCCCCGAACGGGTTCCCGCCTTGTCGTGGCAGGGGGGCTTAGTAGCCGTGGCTTGATCTCCCACGGTGAACAGAGAGGAACCCGCGTGGCTGGCCCGAGGTGAGGGGCCGGCCTGAGGTGGCCGCTCCGAGTGGGCTTGGAGAGTCCACTTCGGATGTGTGCTGGTGGACTGCAGCGAGTGGGGACTCCACACCCTCTACCGCTGCAGCCGAGATGGAGTCGCGGAGGAAGAGGAGTGTTGGTATGGCGATGCGCCACTCGCCCTATCCTCCGCGACTCAAACGGGGCCGCACCGTTGATGCGGTGGTGATGGGGCTGCGGCGGGAGAGGATTGTCGTTATTGCGAGGTGCCGCTCTCCCTATCCTCCGCAGCCGAATCTTGGTTGGCGGCGGAGCCATGGACCAGATCCGCCGCTGGGGTCGGGAAGGCTAGTGCTTCTAAGTGCTCGTTTTTCCTGGCCCCATGGCCTTCGCGCATCGGGCGCGGGGGCGTCTGTTGCGCGGATGTAATTGGAGGCCGTGGAAGAAGGCGTGCCATGTGTTCTGGTGCGCCTTACTTGGGAAGGAGAACGGGTAGGAATATTCCTCTCCCGAGGAGGTGCTGCCATGGGGCGGCAGTCGCTGGTAGGGCCGCGGAAGTGTGCGAAAGCGTTCCCGTAGCCCTGCCAATATGCGACGAAGGTGGAACACCATGGGGTTTTAGTCGGTGCGAGTCCGACATAACCCGTCCTTGCCTCCGCGAGGCGGGTATGCGTAGGCATTTCCCCATGTTAAAAAAAGGGGTGGAAATGCATCTACATTTCGATACTGAATTGTGGATAGATGAAGATGTCAATAACCAACTAACAAACAGTTGGATCTTGTGCATATGCCAACCTTAATAACATAATATATAAAAAAGGCATTTACTAAATGTGTAGTCCTTAGCTTGTTTATAAAATGTGGAAACCCTAAAAATTTATTTGTTTGAAATGTTTGCTTAATCCACAAATCACCAATTAGAATATATTTTGAAACACTTTAGTGACAATGAGGTATATAAAATATATTGTATTGTGGTGGCCGTATAGAAGGCTCCACCACCCAATCTCATCTCAAGATCAAGCGGCAACTAAAGAAAATAGCTTGAAAGATCCCGTAGAAATAGAGATTACAGTAGAGAAATTGCATAACGCAAAACAGTGAATGTATTAATTAATTCAAAAAATTATTTTAATCAGTTATATAAATTAAATTAATTAATTAATTAATTATAGAGAGAATTAATTAATTATAAAATGTCTTAACAATGTAGGTTAGGCAAATAATATCACCCATCAGTAAATAAAAAACCATAGCTAACCATTCCACTTGGGTTTGTAAGATCACACATGCAAGACAGCAAAGAACCTACGCGCCCAGCCTTAGATTAATCATAGAGAATGCTGGCAAGCTACAGAGGCTTTACCCAACATCAACAGCATAATAGTACCACAATTAAACAAATCTCAAATTTGTATCATCACAAACACTATCTGGACACACATACACACACACACACACATAGTTTAACATACATTTATTTACTATAGGTGGTGCGGACAGTCCTCTATGCAGTCTGCATGGAGTGCGATGATATAGTTGCTCTCATCATACTAGAATGATATGCAGTTGCCTGTTACAGGGCTAAATACCTCAGTGCACCCTAAAATCTTTGGCGACATCATAAAGTAGTTAGAATTTTTCAGGGAGCTTTCCTGCCCGCACCCAAGTCCGTGTGCTTTGCTATCTTGGGCTGCCTCATCACTTACCATCAGGTTGGATAATAATAGTACAGCAGTGGTTTATATAGTACAGCAGTGGTTTATAATAGGTATTTAAAAAACAGGATCCTGAGTTTGAGAGCTAATTTAATCATATTTAGTACAGCTGTAAAACTCCAGTCTTATAGCTAGAATATGAAATAGAAGTTTTCATTAGATTTGACTGAACAATTTAGTTGAGCCAGGATAGGCAGTTATTTCTCGCATTACTTGCCTGACTAATCTCTGTGAACTGTATTAAACACAACAAACAAAGGTAACAGGAGGCTGAGGTAAGAGGTAACCATAAATTTAAAAGTCATAAATGCAAACCCATTTGACCGTCCATCTAATTTGTCTGAACTATTCAATCCAATCCAATATCAAATTTGACAGGCCTGTTGGACTAGTGGTTAGTGACCCTGACTGCTATGCCGGAGGTTGTGGGTTCGATTCCCACCCTGGACAAATGTTTGTGTGATGAGCATGATCATTTGTTCTGTCTGGGTGTAATTTATCTATAATATTTATGTATTTAGAAATATATAAGTATGTTTATCAGTTGTCTAGTACCCATAACACAAGCTCCGCTTAGCTTGGGACTAGATGGCGTTGTGTGATAGTTGTGGAATATTATTATTATTATTATATGCCGTGTAGTGACAGTGTAAGATTATCCAGCACCCCATATCATCGCGTGGGTGTCATAAGAAGCAACAGAGGGATACAAATCAGGAGATGGGCAGCAGCGACTTCCTAATAACGACTAAAAACAAAAACTCAGTTTGCCAACCTGCCTACCAAGCTTGGCAACTATGGCAAATATGCCCCCTATGAGGCAATCTATGGGGAGCCCATGATCAGCAGCGGAATAGGCTGTTACGATAACGGTTTCCCAATTTTAAGCAGTATGCTTAGTAGGATTACCACTGAGCAACAGGATTGAAGTCAATTTTGCACTTTGCTAAATATCGCTAATTGAACCCATTTGTTGTGCAAATAAACATATGCCATTTACTAGGACTGAGATTGGCTATATGTACTTTACTTTAACATAGAGGCAAGAAGATTACAAGAACTCACAATAAATAGTATGTGATAAATAGTATATACATAATAAATAGTTATACTGCTTCCATGTTGGACATAGAGATCCCATGTTAATGTGGGACTTACAACAAAAAAGAATATGCTAGCAGTGCAGTGTTACTTGCCTAGCGTGTCGTAAAAAGGCAACCAATGACGGCATTCTTTTTTTTATAGCATAGGGTGATAAATGAGCACACAGTCCACCTGATAGTGAGTGGTTGCTGTGGCCCATAGACACCTACATGTATCCTCTATTATGAATCAAAATGCAGATGCTTTGTCACACATGAGGACTAAGATGGAAAGCCTCTTCACGATTTAAGTCGAAATTAAAATGAACAGATTATAGCAGTTATTTTCCTAGTTTTATGGCTCCGGATACCTGCGATGTTATTTCCAGTAAAAAGGGTCTCTAGTTCCCTACACTCACCGTACGAAACACAGCAGCATTAAGCTACTATTTTACTCTGGTATTCTGTGAGAGCGTGGTCCTTCCCTGGTCGAGCCGACCCGTTCATGCTACAACAGTACTACTAATGTAACTGCAGCATGGTTCTACCACGTATAAATTTTCACACTTTTTCGCCACCAGAGCGGCGCCACTTTACATTTAGGTGGAATAATTGCCCGATTTCATAGTGAGGAAGTTAATTTGATAGGAAAATATTAAACCTTTTGTTTATAACTAAATTCACAATTAAATAACATTGTGTAATAAAAAACTTTACCTCAGTTCCAACTACCAACATATGGCGATTGCGTTTATTAGCCCTCAACTCAATGGATATTTGTTTTATGATAGTATAGACAATGGGACTAGCCTCTTTTATATTTTTCTTGAATAACTAAGTTTTCTTGCATATCTGTTTGAAAACAAAACAAATGGCGGTTTTTGGCGCAAAATAGTAATATGATAATTTAAAAAAATTACCCAACTTATCAAGTAGGGTATCAAAAAAGTAAATTAAAAGGGGGCCATGTTTGTGTCTGATCTTGTGCTACCATATGAAATTTAGAATAGTTATCCACATTAATTTTAATAGCAGGCGGCAACCAATTGCAAATGATAAACCGAAAGAAAATTAACGGATTCTCCGTACTACTACTTAATTAAAATTATTAACTTAGGTTTTCAGCTCATAATATAGTCTGTTAAACCAAAGTAGTTTACTTTGTTTTTAATTTATTTTAACTTTGTTGTCTATTGTCAATCTTGTTTCAGTCTTTTTAGTACTACTTTTAAAGTTTCCTTTTTGCAGTCGGGTTTTTGATATTTAAGTAAATTTTTTTATTAATAAAGTAGTACTAGTAACATAATAATTCCCACAACTAACATTTCACCTAAGCTTAGTGCTTGTGCTATGTAAGATTAGAACCCAATATTTTTGGATATTTAGCCAATACTCTAAACATTAGGTTAGTGCTACTTTTTGTATTATAAGTCGAATGAAAATCATCGACTTATACATTACTAGCGTAAGGACCGGGTCGACTGCACAACTAAATCGAACAAGTGCACTGGCCCTAAAATGACAATTTAGGGCCAACGCGACTCGGACGACATTAGGACAGATTTGCCTATCATAAATATGTCTAGTTGTGTGGTAAAAGGATGCAAAAATTACGATACAAAGATTAAATAGGAATATGGGATATCATATCATCGGTAAATAACTTTATATTAATTTTGTTACCATTAAATTACTATATAAACACATTTTAAAAGTTTTATTTTACAGTTAGTTTAGTTATGTCACCAAGATTAGACCAGGGTTGGATTCAGACCCTCAAAAATATTGTACATGGAAAATAAAAACATACTATTTTTCAAAAATTATATCACGTTTGATGTTTCATGTTTCTTTTTACCAATGTGCCGGGATTTTGGCGTCACGCGTCCAGTTTATCTATATGTTTTTTGACGGTTTTATTTTTATTTCTGTTTAATTTTTGTCTAAAGAACTTAGTGTAAGTTAAATTTTGAATATTGGTACTTAATATATTTTATATTCAATAAGGGTAGAGTTAAAAGAGTAGGAAAGAAACCATATCAGCTTAATTGAATCTGAAAATCTGATTCATAAAATATTTTGAAATTCTGTTTTCAAAGTGATTGCTTCTGGAGCATAGTTTTTGTCATGGTAGTCCCTCATTACAGTTGTATCAGGGACGCAACATAAATGCATCAATCGAGCATCGATTGACCAGAAAGGGAGCTAATTTTAATTCTATTTAAAATAATGTGGTACTCATGTACAATACAGAAATTCTCGATTGTAGGGTTTTCTAGGTAATTGTAGGGTTAATATTAAAAAGTAAAAGGACCCATTAATAATACAAGTCGACCTTTAGGTAAAATTATGGTATTTTCACTCAGTCTTATTACGATACTACATACTACAAACTATGAAATAATGGTACAATTAGGATAATTATAATACGAAATCTGACCCTGGTTACGTTGTGGGGTAAGGTTTACAATTCGGTCGCCTGAATTAGGGGGTGGGGGGTGGTGTGGGGGAGGGGGAGGAGTTGTAGTCACCCCCTACTTCCCCTTCCTGCCGGACGTGCTTAGTTTTTTTTAATAAATTTTTAAAAATCTCATTTTGAGGTTATGTTTCGTAATTTTTATGACAATTTTAACCTGATTTATGGGGAGAGAGTTGGGGGACGGAAGCCCCACGCCACTTAACGTGGTGCAGTGGAGGGAGCCCGGTCAACGATGCCCCGCTTAGCGGGGCTCCTACTTCTGAGTGGTTTACAAAAAATAACCATGGAGAGGATGACGGGGTCTATTCGCTCGCTCACTCGACCCCCTCATCCCCTTCTAACCTAACCTGTCCGAGTTAGGGTGCCCAACATCCCTGGCTCGCTTTGCTCGCTATTGCACTCAATATAACACCAAAATATTAACTTTTGTAACTACTTTAATTTATAAACATAATTTATGGCTGCCACCATTTGTAAGAAAGGATCTTTGCGATATTTAGCAGTATTCCGCCGCCACAAATATTCCACTATTCACCAAAATTCTGAAACTCGGAAGCAATGGCATGACGAAAAGCTGTCAATAAAATGGCCGACCTAGCGATTAATTTTACACATTTTTAAATCGATTCGAATCGAAATTGGATGAATCGATTCACAAAAAATTGAAATCTTAAAGATCGATTTCGAAAAAATCTATCTTTTTTTGATTTGCATTAAAAGTTTATATTTATAATATAAAAAGATACAATAAAGTAGTAGTAGATAACATTGAATAATTGAATTAAAAGCTGTCATTCTTTAAAAGTTGGGGTACATTCAACTAATTGTAAATAATTTTACAAATCTTAATAAAACAGAAAAAGATTCGATCTCGATTCATTAGGGTGAAATATCGATTCACTAGATCGATTCAGTACTATATATCGACATGACATTGTCAGAAGAAACGTCAAAAACTTGAGAATATTCAATTAATTTAGTCATTTACCAATATTTTTAAAAAATAATTAAAAATACTTAGACGCTCCACCGACAGCAAAAATTGCATGGGGGTGCTTCAGATAAACCTCCTTGACCCCCCCCTCCCCCATAGTTACAGAATCTTCAAATTCAGGCGACCGAATTGTAAACCCAACCCACATTGTGTTATGATATGACATTTGTATTATGACAGATGCGCTACTACTTCTTGTATGAAAAATTTATGAGTAAAATATTTAGATGAGCCTATCCTTACTTTTGAAATCACTGATGAAAATTAAATTACCTATAATATGAAATCATAATTTAAATATTGTTTTCTGTTACATAATGTTGTTTAATTTTGAAAAATATTTGGAAGTACATTACAAGGCTATAAATGTTTTCGTGTTTAACATTATGTAGTTATACATCCACATTTGCCATGAAATAATTGACATATGCTTACAAAACCAACAGTAATCGATGGCATATATCAGTGAAAACAATAAATCGAAAAGATTTTTCTATTCCTTGCACTTTGAACCCCAATAAAGGACATTTTACAATATGAAAAACTGTACCCTGCAAGTCCACCAAAGGCGAATTTCAGTCCATTTGGTATATAGCGCTCCTTAGTCGGAGCTCCCGCAGATCGGGCCATTGCAGACTTGACACTTTACTAAATAAATTGGAAGGTACTTAACTCGGGCTTTAAAGATAACGATACAAACACATTTGCAAACGACTTGACTTTGATCACAGCAATAACGTTTAAAAGAAGATTGACCAAAAGTAATATTTTTCAGTTCAAATTCTGACAGCTGTATTTGACAGTTTGGTGCTGCCAATGTTTATTTTCGAATTCCATTTTATCTATTACCCGCGATATGATACGATATAGTAGAAATAACTTACTTAATATTAGTCGTTATAGGCATATGTAGATATCCTAAATTTGCAATCAAAATCATAAGTAACAGTTCACAACGCCTAATAAATTAGACAAGAAAAGTTCTGTTGAATTAATAGAACACAATCACTGACTGACTGTTGACATTTGCAGAATTCTGTCATAATAAGTCTTATTTAAAAAAAAAGATGGAAAACGTTAACACATTTAATTATATTGTATTAAGTACATATATGTACCTCTATTTTTTAATTTAATACTTAGCACGTAAATAACTTTTTAATTTGAACCTTAAACTCAGTATTCCACAACAAAAACTTAAAGAAACGTTGATTTTTTTTCACCGTAGGTACAGTGATATTACAAACATGAGCGTGGTTGTCTATTTCCTAGTAAACATATCATAGATAGATAAAAATTATTTGTAATAAAATGGGTTGATACTAGTCAATAACAAAACATTTTCAACCGACTTCAAAAAAGAAGGAGAATCTCAATTCGATTGTATTTTTTATGTGTATTACCTCAGAACATTTTTCTAGGTGAACCGATTTTGATGTATCTCTTTATTATTTGAAACTGGTGCTTCTTATAATATAATCCCATATAAGTTTACTCAAGATCTGACTAGTAATTTTTAAATTATCCTTAATAATACGTGAGAATGCATTAATAGAATGCCTTCTATTTTATAAGCCTAGAGAGAGATATATATCATTATTTATATACGCTCACTGTCAACCCACAATTGACTTCTATACCCCGACAATCGGTGAATTCTCCGCCGTTGGCAGCACTTGACGCATATTGCTGTTAAGTTATAATTCACCAACTAAGGAAGGCGAAAGGTCAAAGACCATACAATCTAATCCGACCTCTCATTTAGCTATTTAACACATAAAATATTTAACTTGTAAACTCCTGCAGTTAGATTGTGAATGTGGTCTCTCTTACATAGGTCAAACAAAAAGATCCATAAAAACCCGCGTGAAAGAACATATAGCTGACGAGAAGCACCGATGCTCCGGGAAGTCTGCAGTCTGTGAACATGTTTAAGATCGTCCCCACCATTACATCAGATTTGATAAACCACAAGTCCTAGCAAAAGAACACCGATTCCTACCAAGGATGATACGCGAGGCTATTGAAATTAAAAAAAAACATCCTAATTTCAATAGAGAAGATGGTTGGGTGCTGCCATCTGCTTGGGATTCTATAATTAACAAAATTAAACCCAAACCCAAGCATACTACTGCAAGACTTCAAGATATTGTAAGTTCGTTTTGCGTAAATCGGACAGTCAGGACAGACAGGCCTAACAATGACATTGGGACGTCAAACATCTCAGTCCCCCCCGTGACCATGGTTGCTGTAAAGCACCCGAAACGTCGGGAATTAAAAATAAGTAAAAGTAGTGAAATAAACGCGATAAAATCCGTAAATTTAGTTTTATTCAATCAAAAAATGGAATTCGAGCTGTAGGATTGTACCCATTTGGTCCAAAATTTGTAGACATGAGTAAAATCAAATCTCAAAACATGCAGAATATTGATTCTACTCGCCAGAGAGAATTTTTGAGAACGTTAGAGAACAAGATTGAAGCAACTTTAACTTGTGCCAAACTGAAGCTTTTCAAAGATGTTTATTACAAATGTCGCCTCGAACTGGAAGATCTTCTGCCAAATGAAGATGAATCTCTGTATTTGATTTGGGCCAGTAGTAAGCCAATGCTCGATCATGATGTAAGAAATTAGGTATCGGCACCCACTAACTCCATTGAAACATCAAATCACGTATTAGAAACTGATGATCAAAATGGAAAAATCCATTGGACGAACAATTCGGAATAAAGCGCTTCCTCGCAAAATATTTGCTTAGCCAAAAAATATCAGATCTCAATACCTCAAATGCAGGCCAGGAATACTTACCAATTATTGATGATTCATTATCAAGAGAAAACGAGACTATTTCTGTCTTATCTCATAATAAGAACGATTCTGAACCAGGCACTTATCTACAAAACAATTGTTTATCCAAAAAACAATTGCCGACGATATAGTCCTTATGGCAGAATCGCTGGAGGACTTAAACACTATGCTCAATGACCTCAATAGTGCCTCCCAACGGATAGGTCTTAAGATGAGCATGAACAAAACAAAGATCATGTTTAATGTCCATGTCACACCTATGCTGGTAGTTGTTGGAAGCACTATGCTCGAAGTTGTTGACGAGTACGTTTACCTGGGACAAATAGTCCGACTAGGTAAGTCCAACTTCGACCGAGAGGTCAATCGAGGGATTCAACTCGGCTGGGCAGCGTTCGGGAAATTACGACATGTCTTCTCGTCAGATATACCTCAATCTCTAAAAACTAGATTGTACAACCAGTGTGTGTTGCCAGTGATGACTTACGGATCTGAGTGGACCTTTACTGCTGGCCGTATGAGGACACTCAAGGTCGCTCAGCGAGCTATGGAGAGGGCTATGCTCGGAGTTTCTCTGCGTGATAGACTCAGAAATGAGGATATCCGCAGTAAAACCAGAGTGACCGACATAGCCCAGCGCATTAGTAAGCTGAAGGTCCATATTGGAAATATATAAATTTGTCAAACAACACGCAGAGTTATTTAAGTCAGCTTGTGATATATATCCACGAAGCACTAGAGATAGTAAACGGCTTGTCTTAGACCATAAACCAAAAACTTCTGTCTATCAGAAAGGTTGTTACTGTATGTGTGTAAAAATATTTAATAAAATTCCAAAGCAGTTCAAACACGGCTCTATGATTCTCATGATCAAAAAGTTACGTGTCTCTAGTATATACACAGTAATCTATGGTTACGTGAATGGCTAATAAGAAAATGTTATTATAGTGTTAAAGAATTTCAAAATGATAATAATATGCATGTTGACATATGATTGACGTAATTACTGTGTATCACTGTTTTATCAGACCTTTATTTTTGATTGAGTGTATTTAAATTTTAATTATGATATTGATATAGTAAATTATGACATTTTGAATTATAGAACTCACATTTAATTACTTGACATTTTAGAATCGACTACCACCTATATTATTTGGTAATTTAAAAAACAGTTGCATGCCGTATCTCATGGCTAAATAGGTCTTTAAGCAACTTATTTTTATAGTAAAAAAACCTATCACTTATCCTATTTATGGCAATTAAATAAATTTGAATTTGAATTTGAAGTGGCAATGGGTCGGCCATATAGCTCGAAGAACCGATAACCGATGAGGAAGAAAGGTTCTCGAGTGGCAGCCTCGTACCGGTAGGCGTAGTGTAGGGCGACCCCCCACTAGATGGAGTGACGACCTGGTAAGATATGCAGGCAGTCGATGGATGCAGGTGGCTCAGGACCGTGCTTTGTGGCATTACTTGGGGGAGGCCTATGTTCAGCAGTGGACTTATAAAGGGCTGTAATGATGATGATGATGATGATAATCCAAAGAACAGATCTTGATACTTCAAATGCAGACCAAGAAGACTTAGCAGCCACTAATAATTCTTTACCAACAATAAACGAAACTATTGCGGTCTTGTCTCAGAAGACGAACAATTCCGAACCAAGCACTTCAACTCTCTATACTTCAAATGAGCGAAATGCAAAACAGGGAAATTTAGAATTCATTGATAACCACATATGATATAATTAATAACCATGGCATTTCAAATTATGTTATACATTTTAAACGAAGCTTATTTTGGCCAGAAACTGATGAAATAACGAAAAGTAAGAAATGCATATTAAAAGAGGAAATTCCATTCCAAGCCATGCATGGGAAAGCATACAATACCAAGAAGGAAGAAGAAAAAAGTAAACAAATAGAAGAGAAGGAATTCAGAGTCAAACAATGAGAAGAAAATAGAATGAAGAAAATAAGAAAAAAAGTTTCAAATAAACGAAAAAACAGAGTTGAATTATCTGAAAGGAACTGTATTCACGACTGGTCGTCACTGCTGGTGATAAGAGGGCTTGTTCTTTCCTCGCTCAAAGGCTAAGTATAGCTATTCATCGAGGAAACGCAGCCAGCATTCTTGGCACTATACCACGGGGAGCAGATCTTTTTGACTATTTAAATTTTTAGTTTTAGATTTTCTAGTTTCTTCTTTTATATTGTATATAATTAGTTTTAATCGTAAATATTATAATTTTAATTATTATTTTGGTTAAGTTCATTATTTATTTATTTATTTATATACACTTTATTGTACTAAAGGTACAAACGGCGGACTTAATGCCATATGGCATTTTCTACCAGCCAACGGAAAGTTAGTGGGAGATGTATGTACTGCAGTGGGCTAGGATTAAACCTAAAATTGATGAATTTCACATACATATACACCCCCCCCCCACACACACACACCACACACATACATTCTCATAGCTCACACTTAATTAAATATATATAAGGATCTAATAAATTAAACGTTGTAGATTATTTATATATTTTTGTGTCAGATGAACCCAAATAATGTTCCTTTACCTTTGTTTTAAAAATCCATTTGTTGGGAGATTTTCTTATTGCTAGGGGAAACGCATTCCAGAGTCTTACAGCTGTAACAGCGAAAGAGTTTGAGAGGAAACCAGTACGGTGAGAGGGAGTATGGAGCACGAGATTGTTACGAGAGCGAAAATTGCAATCATGGGAAGAACCCAGGTATTGAAACTTACATTTCAAATACTCTGGGGCCAATGGATCGTTAACAATAGTGAACAGAGTGCTAAGAATTCTAAGGCTCCTACGTTGTGGTCATACTTTCGAAGACCGTAAATGAAACGGATACAATTTTTGAGAAGCCGATCTAATTTATTGACCAAATATTTGCTTCTAAGTAGCACACATCAGCATAATCAAACATAGGAAGAATTAGCGATTGAATTAGAATTTTCCTCGTACAAAACGGTAAGATATTTTTATATCTGTACAATTGTCTCAAAGTAGTACAAACTTTACGGCTAACTTCCTCAACATGACTGCACCAAGTTAGTGAACAATCCAAGGTTAATCCCAAGTCCCTAACATGAGAGCTGTAAGGAATTACCTCGCCATTATAAATCAGAGGATCGAACGATGTATGATTAAGTTTACCTAATTGACGTGCACTGCCTAAGACTATACCTTCTTGACCAAATAAGAATCCAGTTAAGATCGGAGTTAATCACGGTTACAGCATTATTTATGGAAGTAGCATTGGCATGAGCATAGAGTTGCAAGTCGTCGGCATACATATGGTAGGAAGCACGAAAATTACAAGTAATCATGTTAATAAATATAGAGAAAATTAAAGGAGAAAGAATTACACCTTGCGGAACACCAGTGGTTAATTCACCCCAATCGGACACCATACCATCGACCCTAATCGCCTGCTGGCGACCACGAAGATAGGAGGAGACCCAATTCCGTGCTGACAAGGAGAAACCTATGTAAGACAAGATGGCGATGAGAATATCATGGTCAACGGTATTAAAGGCGTTAGAAAAATCTATTAAAACTAACACCGTCAACTTTCCAAACTCCATGTAATCACGCACATCCTCTGTTGTTTTTAAAAGCGCCGTTGTGGTGCTATATCCAGGTCGAAATCCTGATTGGTGTTGATTCAGTAAGTTGCTTTTGGTTAAGTGAGTTTGTATCTGTTCGAGCGCTACAGCTTCTAAGACTTTTCATAAAAACGGCAAAATCGAGATAGGCCGGAAGTGATTGAGAGCACTGGGCATAGAGATTTTTGGAAGAGGGAGAACAAAAGCCTTCTGCCAGCATAACGGAAACTTCCCAGTAAGCAATGAGCGGTTTATAATGGAGGTTAAAATTGGTACAATATGATCTGAAACATATATCATGGTTCTTCCTATGTTGTTATGACCTTTGACTTAAGTTTTTGTAATACTTTTAAAATATCCCTTTCAGTGAAAGCAGAAAAAGAGAAGGAATCAGTATGCGGGGATGACATGGAAGTAATATCCGAAATAGTTTTCATTTTAATGTGAGATGGGAGACAAGCCGCTGTAGAAAAGTGAGCATTGAAATCATTTAATGAGAAAATATCTGAGATCATTTGTTTTTTAGTTTTACTGAGACCATGAGAGTGAATGAACTTCCATGTCTCCGATTGCGAAGAAATAATTAGGAAGTCATGAAAATATCGGCGTTTAGCAGACTCCCAGTTCTGTATAGTACGGCAAGATTTATATGTGACAAAAGCTCTGTTGCGTCTGTTCATTGCCCACTGTGATCTACGGTACTGATGGACGTTTGATTTTAACCTCGCGTTCTGGCGCATGTGTATTGAAAATATTCAATAATTTAGAATTAAACTCCGTAACGATATCATTAATTTAAAAAACAGTATTTAACACTGGAGACAAATCAATGGCGGACACATAATTAATTAAGCTATCTCTATTTAATCGAGCATAGCTACGTAACTTTATTGTATGAGGGATATGTTTAGGTGGTTTTAATTTATATGAGAGAAATAACAAGTCATGGTTCGAAAAACCAGGAGCTGGGAACTGACCATAACTCGCAACTTTATTAGAAGATGTAATAATTAAATCGATCCAAGAATCCGCGGTAGAAAAATTAGAGTGAGTAGCTTTAAGGGGGAGAATGGAGAGGTTGACCGAGTTTATGATGGATCGTAACTTTTGAGAATTAGAGGAGTTTTTTAACAGGTCTGTGTTGAAATCACCCATAATAACTTGATGTGTGTACTCAGAGCAGATGTTATCTAGGATAGATTCCAAAGTGGAGAAATAATTAATAGAGGGAGGAGAGTAAACGACTCCAAGAATAGCTTTGGCCCCCTTTAAATTAATTTCAAGAAACAGATACTCCATGGCATTAGCCTGTTGATCAAAAGTGGATATTACTTTGAAGGTTATATACTACGTAGGTAAATAGCGACTCCACCTCCACGCCTCAAAATTCGGTCCTGTCGTACCAGTACAAAGCCTGGTAGACCATATGATGTAGAACATAGGTTAGGTTTTAACCAGGTCTCGGAAACTAGTATAGCAATGGACGAGATCAGCTGAGAAAGTAGCCAATAATTCAGTATAATGACATGGAATACTTTGCGCATTAATATGACAAATATTAAGATTGGAGTGAACAAAGTTAATAAATGTATCATAAATTTGTTGCCTGAGGGCGACCTGAAAGTTATAATCCTCATCATCGGAGTGAAAAGACGAGCTCATATCACTTGCTGACACAAAAACTTCATCATCAGACATAGTAATTTAAGATAAATATCATATACCTAAGACAAATATTTACAAATATAATGAGATATATAATGCTAGAATCTTATTTATATGTATAATATAAGGTACTATTCTATTATACCACCTTTCCTCAAGTTGACTGGTAGTTACAAAGCAGAAAACACGAAAAATTCAATTTTACATAATTAAAAAAACGAACATAGCAAAAGATTACACAAGCTGGATACAAGTATTCTAAGTAATATTTAACAACAATTAACGCAAAATTTCGTTAAGGTATAAAACAATGTAAGTAAGGCTTAATGGTCCACATACCTTTGCCTTAACCTTAATCTGTCACTGCCATTCAAGTGACCAATATATTATGGGTATGTTCCGAAATACAACGCAGTGTACTGTCCAATGCAAATGACGTCATGAATCGACGCTATACTGGTGATTCGTTCCAAAACATTGGACAGTATATGACGTCATACTTTTGCGCCATTTGGAAAAGTGTTGGCGATTATTTTGTCATTTTGTGCTCCAAAAATCATTATATCCTCCTAATAGATATACCATCAATTATTCTATAATTTTTTGTATTGACTCGGCTACCGATCTAATCAGATCATACAATACCTACCTTACGTCGGCTCTGGTACGGGTCGAATTAGATCAGGTCGGATCAGAAGTACTGCCTTATGAAAAAACTATTTTTTCCTTTAAAACAAAACCAAAGACAATATGCAATAGGTAATAGTATCAAAGACAAAGATATGCTCTTTTATTTTAAACCATAACCTGGCAATGTTTCTTAGAAAAAAAAAAGAAATCACTCTGAACTTTTGGCGTTCCACGTGTCGTTTTGATGAAGGTGCTCCGTCTTTTTTATAGAATTTTATATTTGTGTCTGGACTAAAAACGAAAGTATTATACTTTTTTATATTCCTTGTAATATAGTGAACACACATATATATATATATATATATATATATATATATATATATTTATATATATATATATATATATATATATATATATATATATATATATATATATATATATATATAATTTGTGGTGTAAAAAGTGAAAAGTAAATTGCCAAAAGTACTTCAAAATCTGGAAGACCCATTTTGGCGGTTGGGTCATAAATGTGTTATTTTTCAAATTCTCATTTATTTTTAGTGTAAAATGTAAGTAAAAATAGTTTTCTTACATATTTCAAATAACTTGACGTTGTATTTATTTCAAATTCACACATAATTATTTTTGAAATATTGTTCTAAATGTCACACAGATAAAATATTATTATTGTTTTTTTTTTTAATTTTTTAATATTTCAATATTTTGGTATGAGTAACGAATGGAAACATATAAAACATAAAAATATACATATTTCCAAACATTTTCATATAAATTTCTCCAAAAACAAAAGTGTAGAATTCAAATTAGTAGTAATTTTGTCACTAAAATTGAAGTATATGGTACTACTATGCTATACAGGGTAATTTATGTATTTTATTACAATTATTAGCAACCAAAAATAATTTTATTCGATAGTTTATACATTCAACAGGAAATCCTGTAAGTTTTATCCATAAATATTGTCTCAAAGTGAAAATATAGCAAAATTTGCAATATA